CAACCCGTGTCATGGACTCTCACTTTGCTGAAGGAACAATGCAGTGTCAATCACAAGCATGGCGACTGGAGTTGTACTCGGTCGCAGTATTACATCGGTATGACTTGCATGGTATGCGTAAAGATATTGAAGAACAATGTTTCATTACAGTTTCATAACCGTGGTGGGGAAGGCAAGAAAGTCAGACGCGAGGTCTTGAAAATGTGGGGTGCGTCGTCTTTGAATTCAGCCAATATTTATTTAGTCTCATGCATGGCTTAGTCTATATCGGAGATCCCCTTCTATCGCGAAGTGTCATAAGTCTCGGTGTTAGGCAGTTGTCGACCCTCGACTGGCAGGTTACCCACCCCTTGGGCACATGTTATCAGCGCGACTGAAGCATGAAAACGTTCCGGGTTCTATCACATCATCGAAATGGGCTTCACGCGCACTTGAGCCACGGCTCATCATTATATCATTTTCCGGAATTTTAGGGCCCTTCAATTCAGTACCACCGCCATCATCATGCTCATAGGCCCTGTAAGACCGGTGTCATTGTTATTTGTTCTCGGGTCGGAGGAAGAATGTCGCTACATATCATCTCTGCAGCGCTCCCGTGATAGCTTTCAGTCATCAGACCTTCGTCGGTATTCTCATGTGGATTTGCACTCTCGAGGGTACATCGAAGCGTAATGTGCTTTCCTTTTCGTTTCTTTAGCGGAAGTCCGCATAGCGCAAAAGAGAACAGTATCCAAATTGCTTCTTGAACTACAGAGAATGTAGAGGGTTGAAAGCGGTAGTCTTTTTACACATGCACCCTCATTCTCAAGGTGTGCCGCCTTTCATCTCATTTGGATTACTCTTCGATGATTCTATCAGATCTTCTATTACGAGTCTTTTCTCTTATATTTTCGTTGTTCCGCACTGGCAGCTGCTTATCCCATTTATGCACTGCACGTGTGGTCGGCAAGTAAAAGAGATGAAATGTGGAATACAAGACGATTATAGCTGACGCGTACGTCCCTTCGCCAAGGGTTCGTAAATATATTGCTAATACTTACAGCACAGAACGTCATCCTGCCATCGTTGTGCGGCGCCGCCTAGGCTGATTAGCACCGCCTGCACTACTCCTCTAGGTCCTAAACCTTCAAGAACTCAGGCATGGATACTTGCTATGGGGATCATCAAATCCGGTTATAACGGGCTGGACAAGGGCCCGCCGGTTCGAGTACGGCCTGTTGGTCCATGCGTAACCAATATCCGCTTATCATCACAAGTTTATGCCACGGCCCTGCTCTCCCGCTTAGCTTATCCTCCTGGTACCTCATGCCCTACTCGCAGAATAACATTCACTTGTTACCCGCAGTCCATTCCCGACGCGCCAAGACATCCATACGCGCTGTTTTATCTTATCTCAGGAACCGCTAGTTCATCGCCACAATACCATGACATTCTCGACATCACCACATCCCCGAAAGGAATACACAGGCAAATATGGGCGTTTATAGTAGGTACTCGCATCAAGAAGGATTCGAAGCTGCGAAGATACTAATCCGTGGCGGACTGTACCCTCTTCTCTTCGTGCAACTTCGCCCATTTCGTTCGTCTCTAGACGTGGACTGAAGCCATCCCTCGGCTCCAAATTCCAATTGACAGTTCGAATTAACGTATTTGACGAAATGAGCTGGTTCGGTATGACCTCATCGAGATGGGAACCTGGAACTTGCGACTTGTGATTTTCATAAGTCAAGCGCGATTGGATGCCTTGTTCATCTGTTCAACCCAAGTTATGAGGGCCGCGGGGCACCCTCCCCAACTCACTCTTCACTCTCAGTGTCTATTCTTACTCTGTGGTACTCTGCACCGCCTTGTCCCTGCAATATCTTACTCTGGTTCCCGCTTTAGTCGTGGGTCGTCCTCGGGGTGTCGCTTAGTTTCAGTTTCATGTCAGCGACTATCGGTAAGATGTCGGGTATCGAGCAGGTGGTCGGCCGCTGCTGAGGTTGAACTTACATCTGTTTCATTCTTCTCTGCCAATGTGACACAGAACAATGGAAAGAAGGAAGAGCGGTCGGTGGATATACACTGTTCTGACAAGGAGAAGAACCTCGGCGGCGATGGGAGGTGGATTCTCAACGGGACTTGTACGGACTGACGTCACTTGCAAGTTCCTCCGAGCCTATTGTACCTTGGCCAATTTGAACTTGGGAGCTAGGGGAGGAACAGGAAGGCTTGCCGACGTCCCGTGCACCTGGCCTAATGGCCGATAATTGAAAGATCCACCCACAGCTCGCTTTGATACTTTCTTGTAACCAAGACCGTCAAGGTGTTATATTTGAATACCGTAAGAGCAGAAGTTCGACGGCGAGGGCATGATATCATCAATCAATAGGCCGAATGGAACCCGAAATGATATGATGATGAATTTGCACAAGTCCAAAGCGAACTTCGGGAAAATTTTTGCCGTAGTGAACGTGCAACTGGTTCCTAGGCCAGTCTGTTGCAGGGCGCGCGCGCGTCGGGACCCGTATCGGGCCGATACACGCGCAGCGGTGGTCAGATAAGTGGATAGCCGGATGAACAGATATCTATATCAGAATCGACCGCAAGTGGGACCATCAGCCACCAATTAAAACGTGCTGCCGAGTTGAAGTTCCCACTCAGCAGTGGGGGCATCAGAAAACTGCCAGTCCTGCCAAGTTGGCTCTCGTGCGTGCGGTATGCCATCATGCCATGCACGCACGACCGGATCGTCCCTGTGACGAGACTTGGAATGAATGGACTTCTCTCATTGTCAAGTAACACGCCGCAAAGCAATATATCTCAAGTACAATTCGACCTTGGTCAAATCAGCAAGGGGTGATGTTTAAGACCGGGGAGGGGTGGGAATGATCATTGATGGATGCAGAAAAAAAAGACAGGAGATTTCTATAGTCCGTGTTTGAGAATGAATGCAAAACAAAGAGACAAACTAGATTGGGGTCCTATGGTACTAGGTATACAGAGAGCAATGAACATAATATGTTACTTTTTGCGAGAGGCATGTACAGAGATAACGTTAACAAGGAGAAATAAAATTTAGTAGCAAAACAGCGAGAGCGCTCAAACACCTATACCGTCGGACTCGGAGGTTAGCACAGCTGGACCTCCCACTCGCCGCCCTCGGCCTGTTCGGTGCTCCGAAGAGCGATGCGTACGCGACGGGATGGGGAAGCCGACGTTGTCGTCGGAACCGTGACAGGGGAAAGAAAATCGTTGTCGAATCCCATGTCGAGGCCCATTCCAAAGAATGGATCGTCGTATGTCGGGTAAGCAGGAGCAGGAGAGGACGGCTGAGGGTCGTGTATACGGACTCGAATGGCGCCATTCGGGACGGTCTGCGCGTCAAAGGAGACATCAAGGGCGGTGGACGACGGTGATGTCGTTGTAGCGGGAGAAGGTGGAATTGGGAGCGACTGCAGAAGTGGCAGGGCGCATAGAAGTGCCATTAAGGCGGACTTGGATGAAGACGAGGAGGGGAGCGGCGTTTCGGTGGGTTCGGCCTTGATGGCTTCTGGTTGGGGCGAGGACTGCAGAAGCGCCTGGGCCTCAGCGAGCTGGGCACGCAGGTCGTCAATCTCGGACGAGGTCGACATCGACGGTGATGGCGACGGCGGTGATGCGCCTCCTGCCAATGCCTGCAGACGCGCGTTTTCAAGTTCGAGTTCGGCTACCCGACTGCATACATCCTGTCAGCTACCTGCCTAGTACTAAAGGAATAACGAAATTTTTACTCACATTTCCATGGCCTCGAATTCCTCTCGTTTCCGTTGTCGACTAAGGAATGCTGCCGCCCTGTTCTTCACCAGCCGTGCTTCTCGTTTCGAGAGACCGGACACATCTGGCGGGACGAAGTCCCTCGTTGTCATGCGCTCTCTGGGCCGCTTCGCGGTGACTGAGTGAGGTGACGGCGACGTCCGTTTATTTGATACTGGCGTCTCTGCCGCCGTCGTTTCCTCTATCTGGGAGAGTGATGCCGGCGGAGGCGACGGCGAGGGCAGCGGAAAGTCAAAGACCTGGTGGGTAGGGAGGCAGGTGATGGTGGTCGGCTCAGGATTGGCAGTCTTGAACATGGGAGAGGGCGAGCTCGACGAGGAAGACGACGACGGGGAAGGGTAGTAATCCCAGGACTCCATACCACAAGTGCGTAAGATTGGGGACTTGTGGAAAAGAGGCACCCACTGCATTCGCCCTTTTTGTATCCGAGCGGCTCGGCGTTAACTGCGAGTTACCTCCGAATTGGGCATTCTCTGATCCCGAACACGGCCACGAACCGAACCGGTTCCTCCACCGACGACTCTCCGCTTCCACCTCTCACTTACACATTTTAAGAAATAATCCATACACGAAGTCCTGCTCCAGGGTGTATTATCGGTCTCAGCTTTTTTTTATCATTTATCTCCTCCGATTTCTATCCTGCTGCTAGTAGTGCTGTCGCACCAGGACTCCAAGACAAGGCGCATCATCCAACCCCAGCCTCACTGATCATCTTTTATTTAGTGATTCAATATCATGTTTCAATTCCAAGTACATAATGTCGTCTTGTATAGTAACCACCAATACAATGTCCGTGGATCACCGTACCGATTAGATTACATGTTCTCAAAATGATCAGATTTCGACGCGCCCTGGCCCCACCGACAAACGCCGTACGCGTCCTTGGCCTTCTCTGTTCTACCTATCTTCTTCTACCTACATTATATCATTTTTGCATGCCATGGAATATCTCTTTTTCCCCATACTCAGACTCAGGTACAGGGCCGCGGAATCAAAGTATCAGTACCTAGCTCAATGGACACTAGCATTAGGACTCGGTAAAGCCCAGGGTTATTCGTCTAGGATCTGAGTAGATATCATAATCGTTCTGCCATTTCCGTAGGTAGTAAAATAATGTCGTAGCCGTGAGTCTTGAGTGCTGAACTGAGTCTTGAAGTTCGAAGCCTCATACATTGAAACGGAAAAAAGTTATGCTAACTACTGGACTCTCTGGCTGGGAGTTGAACCCAGCTTTCGCGCGAAACAGCTCCTTTCTTGACAGCGTTGACAGGCGCGTGTACTAACCGATATACTACCAGAGATGAAAAGCTAAATTCACATAGACCAAATCATCTCTCCTATCTACACATTTCCCTCTGCACAAAAGAGTGCAAATCGACAAAGAGCAGTGACAGTTGACTATAACAAAGGGTAGCAGTACGTGCAATGATATCATTCTGATCTCGAGCCTTATCTGCATAACATCTCTCACCCGTGATAACATGCGTCATGAACCGATGTAGGGTCGAAGCACGATTTCCATGAAATCGCCTTTAAGCTTCCTTCCCCCTCCTCCTCTTATCGATTAGGAACATCCTGGCTCAGAACCAGTTCAACTGGTGGTCGAGTCTATACTTACCATCGCGCCCCATTCACTAGCACTAAGGCCCGATACCTATATCACCCGACCACGTTGGCAAGACCCGGTGAGTCGTTCATATGATTCCTTCCGCGTTTTGTCCGATCCACCGGTGAACTGATGAAAAATTTCGCCAGAGTGTGTAAAAGAATAATCCTCTTATGTACGTTGGGATAGCAATTAGTGCGATCGGTTCGTTCGCTCGTTGATTGTCCTGCCGGGCTATCCCTATTTTCTCCCGAGAAATCCATGGATCCGCAATCGAATCCGCTCTATACCCAAGGTTATCCTTTGTGGAAGCCAAGAGATATCTATATCTGCACGCAATCTTGGATCGGTGAAAACTTTTTCTACCTTGTAAAATGACAGCAGCTGACAGCCCAGAAATATTTTTGAACGCGACCTAGGAGAAAGAGCAAAGCCATCTGTCAAAGGTGAGGGAACCGTGACATACTCACGTGGCCCTGGCGCGTTATTGACGCGAATTTTCTATGATTATGTAACCTTTTTCTGCACAGCCTTCCTATCCGATTATCACTTAGAAAGCCAATAAACTTTCTCCAGACTCCCGCAGTACCTGGGTTTGTTTTTACCATCTATCTTTCATCAGATGCGTCACGGTCTACCAGTAGGAATGGAGGAACAACGACCGAGCTCCAATACCGTCATCCTCGTTTGTCTGGCCTTCGTGAAATGGCCCATCTTGATTCCAAAATTTGCTTGCATCGCGTTCCTGTGTCTGACAGGACCCGATATCTACATCCCCGCCAGATATAACAACGAAATCCACTGGTGCGATAACCTGATCCTTCGTTGCCTGTGCTGAACAGGCGGAAAGAAGTACAAATGTACGTCCTGTATCATAGCAAGAATATCCCCCAAGGCACTAATGCTTTGACGACAGTGGATCTTAACAGGATGCTGATTCTGTGTCATCTCATGATGGATTCTCTAACATGACCTCATTTAAACTCCCCTAGACTATTATTATGTGCTGTGAATGCTTTCAATACAACGCCGCTGGTGGCCTAAAACTGAGCTATCTGCAATGATGTCGGGCGACAGCGCGAATGCCGCCCGCGAATGACCGCAGGTAGGTTCCAATAAAATCACATCCGCTATCCCTTAATCCTTTTCTCACACACAACAGGTCGAATCACTGTAACCGTGTGCTGGAGCATCTGCCTCTTGTAACTCAAATTTGGCGCCTTCTTCTGATCGAGGGCAGCGCATCTAGACAATCGTCCACTCGAAAAATGACATTGTATCGAAACAGCATCAGATTGGTTGCTAACCTGAGTGTTCGAAGAGGCTTCACGAATTGAACTTCATATTACTGTAAAGGCCGATCCAGGGTTAACGCTTCCTCTGGAATAGTCTCTGAATCTGGAATCTTTTCTCGGTGCAACCAATTATCCTTCCATATCATTCAAAGGCGTCTCAGCAGTCGGAGTCCCTCGTGCATCCATGATACAGAGCCGATTCTCAGCATTTTGCTGAACCGGAGTTGTAAGTAGGTCGGTGCCGCCTACGTTCGAGTAAGGATCATGTGCGTAACGGACGCTTTCTTGTCAAAATTTGACTGACGTGAGCGTACAGAGATGTCCTGGCAGGTGACCCAGTCGCGCCGGTCAAAATTCCAGAGGAATAGAGATAAAAATCAGACACGGTCATTTGACCACAGAAAAATACATTGGCTTTACCATTAATAAAGCAAATCCCGACTCATTTCGCTGTGGTCAGAAGCGCGGGTCTAGACTCATACGTTATCCACCTATTTTCACCGGTTCTTGCCTCGCCCGAAATACCTGCTTACCAGAAGTGAGATATAACCGCAACAATTCATAAGAACAAGGATCATACAATGCGCTTTCAGAGACGTACTGGTGACCGAGGATGATTGCCAAGAATATGTAAGTAGATCGAAGCTAATGTATTGCTTTTGAATTTGACGCCTCGGGAGTTGGTGCATAATTGATGCCTTGAATTCATGTGGAAGAGCGCGTGAATTACTTTCAGCTGAGTAAACAGGTCACGGCTCCGATGACGAAGTCAGTATTATTATAAATTATTAATCATTATTATCATCTCCACCTTCCGTCGCTCTATAAACTCCCATATCTACCTGGGAACGGCGTGAGTGCGATTGCAGCCTGTCGAGGCTCTCCCAGTTTCATATCTACGGATCTTCCCATTCATACGGACTTGCGACTCTGGTACATATCGCTTGCTCCCTCGGCTTCCCTACTATTTCTATCACTATCGATTAGAAGTTGTGCAGGTCGATGCCTTTCATTTTCGAAAAGCGGCTCATATTAACTACTCCGCTTCCGAGTATAGCCAACTGCAATATGTAACAGCATCTCCACCGGCATGCGTACAGCCCCAAAACAAGACGGAGGTTCCAATATTAGACAAGTCCCGGTCATCTAAAGACCCGCGACAACCGTGCGCACGAAGGCACAAAGCTAGTTCAGTCCTTCCCTTTTATCTCATTTCAGCTGCCAGTCAGAAAAAAAATACATCAAGTTCATTAAATGTTAATCTATAGCTTCAGGTACAAAGTTGATAATTACATAGTGCGTTAATTGAGTAACGGTGGTTTCGAGTCGCTTGCATTTTAGTTTACTTGGTTTGCGCGTACGGGTGCATTGTGCGCTCTCCACCCTCACAATGTATGGTAGAACCCTGGCTGGCCCTGGATCGGTTCTTTCAATTTTCCCTCTCTCATCAGCCTATTCAGCCTCGAGAAATGGACCACTGTTGCAAGTACAGTTCCAATGAGCACAATTTGAGTCCCGATCGTCACCCACAGACCTAGGAATTTTCGTGTAAGTATCAAAGCGGTGAAGGGAGGAGAAAAGAATACCCACCAGGGACATATTTTGGAAAATCCTTCTCCCGAAATACGGTCGAAGCGATGATTCCGCCGATACCTGCGCAGCCCGAAGTCAACGCAGTCTGCACCGACCTAATGATGAGGATGATGATAAGTGGCTTGGGTATTGAGGGGAGAGAAGTCGAGAATGAGGTTCATCAGTACGTACCGTTTACTCTGCGAGACGACATTATTGGCACCATACGCTAAGATACACGGTATGGCACCTGCACTTCCGATGTTGATGAGGAAAGTCCCTAATGCCTTGACCTGAGTAATGGAAGTTGAGAACAAGGGAGAGCGCCTACCAAAGTACCGCAAGGCATGTGGTTGGCAAAACGCTGTTAAGCAACATCCGACAATGCAAATGCATGCTTGGACGATGATGTAAGAGCTCCGGTGCTTGTATCGGTCCGATATCCATGCAAAGAAGAGCGCAGAGATGAGCTAGCGAGAATATTTTAAGTTACTGCCCAGGTGACGATGATGGAAGTCAGCATACCGCTGGACCATAGGGAGGTGCGCTCTAGAAACCACTAGTCAACCCCAAGAATCTGATCATTGAATAGATAGGACTTACCAGAAGGAGGGACATACTTCTCCCGTAGCCCATACCACCCAGGATAATGGAAATAAAGTAAGCTAGCATGTACGACGGCACAGTCGAACACGCCAGCATAATGCCTAGCACCTCTAATCAGCCAGGACCCAACGCCAAGCGTCACGCTTTGCATACCATAAGTCCAAATCGACCAATCCTTCAGGTGGAACCAAATCTTAGCTGGTGTCAAGACATCCGGCACCGAATCTCCACGGTCAATTTCAATCCTCCTTAGAACCACTGCTGTCTGCTCCGGGGTCAAAAACCGATTCTTGTCCGGGAAATCAGGGACATAAAGGAACGTGATGATGCCTAGGAATATTGTGAGTGCGCCCTCGATGATCTGTAATGCAATGCAAGGCCGCCGCATGAGTAACGGAGGTAAATTAGTGGAGAAATTAACAAATGCTCACAAAAATCCAGGACCAACCGGCTATACCCCGTTTTCCATCAAGCAAACTGATGCAGTAGGCAAGGATAGGAGCGAACCCGGCAATTGTTAGTGAGATCATGTAGAATGCAGCAAGCCTGGCGGTTGTAGAACATGTCAAGTAACTGACATTTGATGGGTAGACGGAACAGACCTCTTTGCGACTTCATGACGCGTGTACCTACAGACCAGAAGACAGAATTAGGTCCGAGTAATGTAGAACGTAATGAGGGGAGTCTTACCAAGTTGAGATGATATACACGAGAGCAGGAAAAAGCCCGGCCTACGCGGAGTCAGGCCCGATCAAAAGATAGAAATGACAGAGCGATTTGCACCTCCATGGCACCCAACAACACGCGTAAAACGGTAAGAACTTCCCAGGTCTTGACGAACCCGATTGATAAGCACACCACGCCCCACGCGGTCACAATAAAAGAGAGGAAGACGCGCGCTCCTATCTTGCGTAGAAGGATATTCCCGGGTACTTGACTATCAAGATGATTGGCTAGGAGCGCGCAGCAAAAATAAGAGACAATAACGTACAATAGCACGTAAGGAATAAAGTACATGCAAGTCGCGATACTGTATCGAGATCCGACGTCAAGTCCCTATAGTACAAAGATTAGACTCATCCCGCAAGAATAGCGAGTTTTTACCAATGCTTCGCCCATGCCGGCCGTCCTAGCGACACTAATATTTAATCGGTCAACTAAGGCGACGGAGTAAAGAAGAGCTAGAAGCGGAAGCATTCGGATGTCCACCCATCGCCTTTTA